ATATTAGATTTCTCGGCGCGTGCATCCGTCCAGGATCCTGTATCCAGGACTACCAATATGACAGGAAAATTTCATATGCAAACGCGGCGCAGAAAAGGACAACGGCAGAGGTTAAGGGTCAACTCCCCACTTTCATTTATTTATTTTTTTTCTCATTGCGAATGTTTAATTGCGTCTCACTTTTAATTAAATTTTGTTTCGCGTGGGCTCCAATTTTTAAACACATTTCCACCGCTTTTCGCCAACAGATTTTTCGTTGCTGTTAATTATCTATTTCAATTGTCACACACCAACAATTAATTTGTTCATTAACAAAACTGAACATTTACTGAAAATTTCAATATTACAAATAATAATTTTCGTCATTACATAATAAAAACATGAACTTTTGGCAATACTTAAGGGTTGTTTCAAAGAAATAACAAAAACATCGTTATGATCTAACATTGTTTAAGTGTTACATTAATAATTATCAATCAAATAATGAAATATGGACAACATATTTATTGTAAATATTTAATTGTCATCCTTTTCACATATGTATGAACATATTTTATTTAATTAAAATAATTAAAAAAGTACATTTATGCAAAATAACTTATTGAAATGAAGAGGTTTCATAATTGTTTTTTTTAACTTTTTTTTATATCCGTTTGATTGGTATTTCGTATTAAAATTAGCAACTGCATTAGTTCCGTGCTGCATGAATTCAATGGTGAAGTTAAAACGCTTACTATAAAATGTAATCTCATTAAAACGGTGCAGAAAGTTGGAAATAACAACCGTGGCATCTGAATTTCGTGCGAACTGAAATGCAAACTCTCGCATTTATGTGTTGCTTTTGTTTCTGTTTTGTTGTTTTTTGGGTTGTACACAGGTTGAAAATATTTAATTGGATAAACGAATGTAAAACTGCTTACTATTGAGTTATATAATTTACGGCCTATACAGATTTCAGCCTGAAACAATGCTTTGTAACGAAAATAGTTTGATTTTAGGTTTCAATAAGTGAAAACTTGATCGTTTAGCAGATTCATGTATCAGTTGTTCATCATGTATACAATCTGTGATTTATGTAATTCATAAGGAATATCGTAAAACTGTGAAAACTTTGAGTAATTTAACCCGCAACTATTACGGTCAAATTCTTGTCACTTTTGTTTGGACAAAAAAAACACCTCTTTCTTTTCGATGTAGGAATTCGTTCATTTGACGGGTCACTTTGACCCGAAATACAGACTAGATTGCGAAATATCAGTTGAGTCACTATGACCTATCCATGGTAATTAAGGTTTAATTGTTACAAGTAATACTTTAGAGATTTCAGTTTTCAAAATTAGCAAATAACTACTTAAAGTTAGTTTGTAAATGATTCTCTTTAGCCATTTACATCACTTTACTTCTTCTAAATTATAAAATTTGATACACATTTTTATATCTCTTTTTTTTAATATAAATTCGAAAATAAAATGATAGATTTTACAAACCTTATTATTACAACAACATGATTTTTCATATACATTTCTTTTTATTCTTCTTTTTGTCTGTCTTTACAAAAGAGATTTGGGATCAGACAGTTACGTTGTTCCTTTGTTATTTATCTTCGCTAAACAAGATATATGCCTTATAGCATGCAACCGCAGGAAGTCGACACAGTTCCGAACAATATAAGGGATAAATTTCACTTAAATTTCGAAATTCCATCTCGCGGAAAGCAATATGTGACAAAAGCGTGGGGAGGAGCAGCTTCTTAACATTTTTCAGCAATCTTTTGACCCTTCTGAAATATGTCTTTCCAAAGCTATAACATGCATACAATAGTAGTTTATTAGAATCTAAGATGAAAACAAATTTGAAGTATAGTTGAGATCGTATACGATTGAAATTCAATATTTTAATTCATTACTTAGATTATATCATTTTGATGATACAAGATTAGAAGACAGCATCTACTTAAGATCAATTGGTATACCTTTTTATACATCTTCTTGCTGCAATGATTAATAAAATACAAATTTTAAAATTAACTTCATGAATACAGCATCTTCTTACTGCCAAGCGATGTATTTTCTTGTTATAAAGATATATTAAAGAAGGAATGCAGAACCTTCTTAAGATCATATATCAATTGATATTAAGAAGGTTGCCTACATCTTCTTTTGCAAGGATTAGTACAATTAACATCAGAAATACTGTATCTCTTTAATATCAAGTGATGTATTTGCAAGGAAAAGTTAAATATACGATTAGTAAAGAAGGGAATGAATACAGCGGAGCCTTAAGATCAATAAGAATATAAATTTGGTTGTTGTAAGTTTCTAGGTTGAATCAGTGTTGAAAGTTAGTTTGTCATTAAGTCTCGCTACCTTTGCAGGGGAAAAGTTACCACTTTATAGCGACTAAATAATTACTTAGGAGAGCTACTAAATTCCCATCGGGCGACGTCGGCAGTTCAACCATTAAGTAAACCGATACGCCGTAAATTTTCCGGAATGTTATTTAAATTTGATTAATGGATTAGCATTAGTTCGGTCGGAACAAAAGTCGACCTTAATGCAGTTTTTATTGGTCCTTCCAGTTAATGGCATCATCGGAATGCGAAACGCGTGTCGGTACTTCATGTTCTGTATCCATGAGCCGGAGCTGAACGAAAATATCGAATTATTATTTTCAGTGTATACAACGAAACAACAACCCCTGTGGCCCGAGGGGCGCCGCCTAAATATTGATGCTAGAACCCTCGAAACTTTCATATTTTCGACGTCGCTGTTTGCTCGGAAAATGTTTACTGTTACTTGTTTGTACTTTTGTAAATTATTCGTACCAAAGTTCTCATTTCTTTCCCCTATCTTTTTATATTGCAAATACATTGCTTACATGTAATTGATGCTCGACAAAGCAGGTTTTAAAAAACTGTTTTTTTTTAAGAAAATTATATAATTCGAAAACCGGGTTTTTCCTAAAAAAAATTGGATTTTTTAAAAGTTTTGATATATTTTTTAATTTTTGTATGTCGTATATTCAATAAAAGAAAATAAGCTGTAAAAATGTTTTGTCCATATCTTTTAATTCTGAAAATTCGAAAAACGGCTTAATTGTAATCAAAACGTATTGCAATTTGTGTTTTACTGATGCATTCGGTAATGCATTTGTCTCTGTTAAACTACAAAAAAAACAATATACGCAATCAACTGCAACGGCCATTTTCCACATAAATCATTGCATTCCCTTATCGATAATCCGGTATGCATCGAGCAAAATATCCAAGCACATTATCGCACTGAAATGGTTTTATGATAATGATGGAGAATTTGGGCTTCGCTAGGCATTTTCCATCCGCTTCCACTCGACGCTTATTTTTCCTTCTTCTCATTACGTCAATGTCCCACTAATTGGAGACAAGCTAAGAAGTGCCGACGTTTCCCGTCCGTCCGATGGAAAAGCACAATGAAATAGAAGGCAGGAGAAGAGGATAGAAAACAGATGAAGAAGAAAAAAAAATAATACGAGCGATGGAATGAGATTTAAGAAAATTGGAATGAAGATTCATTGAACTCATCCTTCCATAAATGTTTCAATGATTCGCAAAGAAATCGAGAAAAAATAAACCGAGTTAAATATTTTCATTTTCTGATGGGAAATCCGTCATGTGATCTCTGTATTCGCGGAAATTGCGCAATTTATTACAAACTTAGTTTGCGGACGAACGAACTAATTTATCATAACACAAAACTCGAAATAACTGGAAATTAAAAATGGGACTGCTTGTGGGCGAGAGGGTATGTACTTTTTTTTGGTAGAGAAAAAGGAAGGGCGCTTGAAGTAAACGCTTTTATGTAAATGATGGCGTTTACGTAGGTTCCAATTTTGCGCAGTTTGCCTTCAGTCGTTATATAATGCCGACAGTTCAAACGGATCTCTCGATATGAAAAACTACGAGATTCTGGATTTTAATTAGGCTTATTGTTACTCGGGGGAAAAAATGCATGTTTAGCATGTTTGCTCATATGCATATGATCCTTTGATGTGTACATCCTGTTTTAACATATGCAAAAAAATAGTATTCGTGCAGTAAACTAGTAGGTTTATATGGTGGAATTGTGTCCATGTAAGGACTTTTGTAAAACAAATATAAGTTCATATTCCAGATTTTATTTACATTAAAAAAAATCTGGATATACAATTTTGTGCAAGATTAAAAATTGCTTAAAGTTAGGGCCGATTTGCTGGAACTGAATTCTTGCTCTATATATTATTTTTTCACAAATATTTAAATCTTACATTAAAATATTGAATAGTAAAAATTGTTGTCTTTATGTTTTGTTCAAGAAATCAATAAATTTTGTGAGGTTTTATTGATATTTTTAAATAATATATAGGAATTAAATTTGATTCTGTAAAAAGATTCAATTGAGGTAGTAATGAAATAAAATTCCGACCATAATTGCGAGTTCTAAGAATTTGACTGACATTATAATGCAAATAGGTAACCCGAAACATTTACAATTCCTCGGTTTGAATTACAATAATTCCACGTTACTTGCCTCATTTATCGCGAGGTATTGGATTTCAATTACGTTCCCTTTTGATGACTTTTTCGTTTAGCATAATTTCTTAAATAAATGCACCGACCTACTCTTACTCACTCTTTGCTCTTGGAGATTACCTTTTTTCTCAGTATTCCCATTCCATCCCTTAGCACCCCCCAGTCATCCTGGATTTAATCGATTCCCATGCCACCCTCTACAATTTATTCGCGACGGCACCCTTTCTTCGCACCAGAAACGGACGTATTCCATATTTCTCCGACACCTGCGATATTACATTTACTGCGAAGCGTATCATTTTACATTGGAAATTGGGTCGCGGCTGCATTGTAAAGGTGCTGATTCAATAATGTCTCTTTCCGAACATGGGTTTTGAATTAATGCGATTGCACCCACTGGTCCAATTATAAAATGGTTTGAGATAACCATAACTCAACCACACCTCTGTTCCAGGTTTTGATCGCTACTATTCATCGCTACGTCCCAAGATGGATAAGGAGAAGGAGATGTGCAACTCGAGCAACGGCCGGAACATACCGCTACCATCAGGAAAGACTATCAATTGCCGGAACGTCTGGTTCAAGGAGTTCTGGAGTCAGCACAACAAATGCTCCTTCGAGGATGAGAACAATGGTAACGAGGACGACGTTAAACCTTGCACTGGTGTCGAAATGATGGAGGACTACGATCAGGAAGGACTAGTACCTTTCGTTGGTGAGTTACATATATTTTGAAATTTTACTGCTGCTATGTTATACATATGCATTTGTAAGAATCGTGGAAACCTTGTTAAAAATATCATACTTCAATTATACTCGATTTCCGCTCTGCAATACTTTGCATAATTGGAGAGAGAGCTGTGCAATCTGCAATATTTGATTTACCTCGGTTTTGCTCTAATTGGATCGGCGTCTTTTCTTCCCTTGAAAGTCCCGCCGTGTCGGGAACATCCTGTGCTAACTTGTTGCGCCCTTTCAAAGGCAATGATATGAAATATGTTCCTTTAAGCAAATACTTTTAATTGCATTACTCCGCTATGATTAACCAATTATAAATACATATTTCTATTAATTTCAATATACAGTTAATGTAACATATATTTACTCTCCAACTGATCTTTGAATCAAGCTCACCAATTATTTAGTTCAATTCTACTGGAATGCTTCTCATTATGTAATAAATATTACATTTTCAAAAACATTTATCTCATAATCTCATAGAACTTATTTGAATAAAGCAAATATATTTAATTTTCTCATTATATAATAGAAAGTAAATAACTATTGCTGACATATAAAAAATAACTTTATATTAAATTCTTTGTTTTTTTACTGGATACAAAATTTGAAATTTTTATGTAATTGTTTAATTTGATTCTTCTTAACATAACATTGAAATTTAATTTTATTCAGTAAAATTGAAGGAAAGTTAATAAATAAGAAAGAGTTGCCTAATTTGAACCTGTGCTAGATTGGACCAACATGGATTGGAGCGGCTGATATAATCGCCCAACACTTTTTACTAAGAAGCAGTAGTTTTTTTGCAGACGAAGCCATATTTTTTTGATTCAACTTTGATGTTAGTTCTGTAAGGGCGCTACTTGAGTTAAGTTATACTTGTTACTAATTTTAATATAAAATATTAATAGTAAAATAATATAAATTTTCTCAAAACTTTGCAATATATAAGTGATCAATGATATGCTGTGGCGTTTCTCAAGGGGTGTGTATAATTAAATGCAGATGTTTCAGGTTTCAAATAGTGACGTTGGTCTGGCCGTGATTAATTCGGTTTAATTTATGTGTTTGTTCGTATGCGGTTTCCAACGGGTTGGGGTGAAATTACACGTGACTGGCAATAGCTGCAATTGAAGAGCAAATGCAATCATTCTATATAAATACAAGTAATTTTAATTTAACAAATTAAAAAAAAACTAAATTTTATTTAAAAAGCATACAATATATTTTTTTAAATAAATAGCAGACAAATAAAAACTTTTTGTAATGTCATTATTATTTTTGTAAAAAAAAAACTGTTATTTAAATGGAATCAAGATTATTAAAGTAAATTTCAAACAATCAAAACTTTAATATCAATGAAATTCCTTATGCCGTAGAGCAGTAATAGAAGTTCTATTGTAATAATTTAAGTACAAAAGTATTGATTAATACCCCATTGTGACTAGTAATTAAATTAAGTTCTATTAAATTGGAAGAGTTTGCATTTGCATCTTTACGATAATTCTTTTATTCGTTCCAAACACTGAGATATTTTGCTTTAAGCACTAGAAAATTAACAAACAAAGTCCTTTTTATGCAAATTACTTTTCCTACAAAAGATCTGCACTCCTTTTGAGTTATGGTCTCAATTAAACACTTTCTTTATTAACAAACTTTGTTGTATAATTCTTACAATCTTGTAATTTTGTCATCACAAAGGGTTTGTTTGTGAGAATTACAAACGTTTTCATATTTTATGTAAAATGTAAATCTTCTAATTTAAATAAAATAGTTAAGTGCAAGATTTTTTTATAATTCACACTAGTCCAATAATTCTTTGAGTTTTACCATTATAGAATGATTTTTTTTTGGAACGTTAGGCAAGTTTTGTGATACAAATTAGATGTCACTTCCGGAAAGTAATTGGATAAAAATTACATTAGTATATTTTTGGAATTAATTCAATATCAGTACAGACAGAGTCGAATATTTTATATAATTCCTAAATTTGTATTGTATTTGATAAGTTTTAGATTCCGTCACTGCTGTAATATTTTTCATCTTTTAAGAAGTAGTTCAACATCAATATTGAAATTGGAGCATGAGGGTGAAATATTAAGGGTCCAGTGTATACATCTGTCGACCAGCATCCCAGGGCGCTCGAACTTAAACCCAACAATGATTGGTCGAGATACGGAATAGCTGTTAGTTTTTCGCCTCCGGAAAACCGGAAACACATCCCCCTAGCCACCCTCAAAGATAAGCGCATCAATTATGGAAGTGTGGCAATTTTAAAGTTGTTTTCGTTTTGGGATCTGGAGAATAGCGCAGGACAACTGCAAACGGGAAGAAGAAAAAAGAGGAGTCGCTGTGAAAATATTTGTGTTTAACTTTTATTACCTTCCGAAAAGGATAGCAGCGCGACTATCCTTTCTGATACGTGACATCCTAACCCTCGAGCTACATACGGAGTACATAAGTTGTGATAAAGCCGGGCTGTAACAAGATATTGAACGATGAGGGTTGATTTTATATATATGTATATGCGCGCGTTTTGTATGTGTGCTTTATATGTACACACATACATATGTGTGTGGAGCAAGTTGGACGTGATAAGGTTGATGGCATTGTTCTTAACCGCATTATCAGCTTTTTGCGCTCATAAACTCACGACCCTTACGAAATCAACACCATATTGTCCCCAGTCTATCGACCACTTAACATGTCCCTCCTGCCACCTATTTCTTGCACGGCTTTCCCTAATACCGAAACAGGAAGAACCTTTCCCTTTCGTCCTTCCATTTATCAACGTTTCAGCGCTAAAGGGATAACCACTAATCATGCCCGCAAACAAAGATTATTACATAATTCATTATTGCGTAATTTTGACGCTGCGGTGGCTTTAATAAGAAGTTACTTCTTTGAAGGAATTATTATAAAAATACATGGACGTAATTAGTTACGGCAACTCCCGTCGACAGCGTTTTATTATTCTTTTCATAATTAGCCTTTGTGCTTTGTTTCAGCATAAAAATTTATATTAAAACGTTATTCAATTAAAGCTAATATATAAAAAAAAATGAAGTACACAATAATTTTTAGTTTACTTATAACATGTTTCTGAATTTATTTAATTATTTTGTAATTAAAGAACAAAATAATTTATTTTAATTAGTGCAATTAATTCCTATTATTTTAGATAATATCAGAACTCTTCCTTACTAAAGCGGTGTCTGTGAGACGCCAGTGGGTAGAAACCAATCATAACTTTTTAAAAACTAGAAGGGTGGAGTAACCGCGACTTATGTACCTTCTTCATATTCACTGACGATTTGTAAATGCACATCACGCCATTAACAGCAAAATATTCTTATCAGAGTCTATCAGACACCACACGAGTAGTGGTTTTATAATGTTACATTCTGCAAAGACGTTCCGTAAATTTTGAAAAAAAATAAATTCAAAATGCAGGAATTAAATGAAACTATTAACAAAACAATAATGGCATTCTTCTACGCATTTCTTTTACGACGTTTTATGAATGAATCAGACTATACGACTTTTTTTGCTGCATTCCTTTACGCTCTTTAAATATAGTTTTTATTTACTTGCAGACATTATTTTGTAGGGAATATAAAAGTTAAAGACTGTGTATTTTATTAATATTTAAAGATGTTGATACTGTATTTATAATATTTTGTTAAGATTCTAATACCCTTGATGAAAGGAGTACTTATAACGAGTTACAGGAAATGCCTTGATGTGCTCTTATTGTTATGCAATAAACTTCCACTCACTCCCGACAAACAAACTGTGCATTGTTCCATTGACATGACACTCGGTTAAGTGTCATTCTGTAGTGGGATCAGACGTCTATCGGAGTGCAATAATCCAGCAATGCTGCTGTATACGTGAACATATATATATATTTTGTATGTTTGTTGGTTGTATTTTGAAGACAATAGCGGGTTCGCAGGATCATAAAAGGACCACCCGTCAGCTCTCCTTTGAGCCGCCTTTATTATTGCGCAATAAACAGCTCGTGCCCACGACGAAACAAGTGTTCTGCGTTCTTTACGTAAGCCGCTTTATGCGCGACCCCGCACATATCAAAAAGGTTGGAGGAATTCCCTTCATCTCATACGATGTTCCTTGTTCTCATTATTACGAAAATAGAAAACATCCGAGCGAAATCCACGTAACCCGTCTCCGAAAATGATTTATACTCTGATCTTGTTCAGTATTAATTTGAGTTGCAGCTTAAAATCACAAAGGAAAGCCTTTCATATTCCCTCGGTAACCAATAAACAAGCAAGTGGAAAATTATTTTCCAACTACGAATAACGCATGAGGATACCGAAAGAGAATTTCATTGAAAATACGATTGCTATGTATAAATGGCAGTGCAATTTGACTTTTACGTCTTATATTAATCAATTAAGCTACTTAGGAGCTTTTATACCAGGAGATTATGTATCGTCATTTGAGGTAAATCATTCGTAACAACGGTCATCTTTGTCATCTGACAATATTTCAGGGTGGTCCTAAGAAATTTGCCGTCCTAAGAATAATGCGCCCACCTTCACAATGAAGGGACTTTTAAAAATAATGCACTCTTTTTGCAGTCGCTTACTAAGAGCTGTAGAAATCATTGATGGATAGAAAAAAAACGTTTTTCGTTAATAACTCGAACACTAATGAACTTTTTTATGATTTTATTGTATAATCAGCAATGCAAGCGTTGCGCATCTTGTTATATAACAAAAGTTACTTAACGTTCTATACGTAACAGAGAAACATTTTTTCGTTTTTTTTTCAGTTTTTACAATTCTTCGTAATATAATTACATGATCGACCACTCATATGAATGTTGAATATCTCACCTTTCCAACGTGCCTAAATACATCTTCGTGTTGTCATCGGGTCGTCTGTTATGAGCTGTAAAAATTGAAAAAAAAACAGAAACGACGTTTTTTTAGTGTCTACAGTTTTTTG